AGACACTTCAAACACAATATTCTTGGTCATCCCCTAGAACTTGATTGTAAGAGACTATTGCTGAAAGCATCATATACTCCATCCATAAAACACAGAGAAATCTAAGTGGTTCTCATTTGGAAGCTTCCTCATTATTGGCTAAATTTCATAGTTTTGGAAGATACTGTTTATGTCGATAGAGAAGATAAGCAATGATGGGCTTTACCTAGCTATGTATTGAGAGCTACAATGACAATCAATTTGGCAATATATGCCCAGTGGTACAGCAGTGGCATGGATTTTATGGGACTACTCAGGTACTTTCTGAGGTCCTTGAGAGGTTACCCTGTTTCAGTGAAAGGCCACTTGACCAAGAGTATATGAACAACATAATTTTGCTTGATAGGCTTTAAAAACTCAGACCCATAGGTTGATGGAGAAATTGGGGTGGATCTGAGAGGAGTTGGGCAACGGGTTCAAATATCAAAATATATTGGACAAAGTTTTCAAAGAAATAATTTTAAAAAATGAGTTAAGATTATATCTGTAAAATTATATACCAATCTTACTTGATTAATGCAAACATTGGAGTCAGTTTCAAATTCGCAGGGCATTCTTTTCATAGTATGTAATATTTAAGGCAGGAAAACTTAAAGATAGCATAAATGCAGTGACCAAAGTGAAACTAGCTGCTGATTACTGCTGTAGGTAGAGATGCTAATATATCTAGAAAGCATTCAAATGCTGTGCTTCTAAAAATCTTAATTGGGATGCTGGTTCCTGTGTATGTACTAATGAACTCATACATCTGTACATTCTGAGGTGTTGATGTTTATGTGTGGATGGGTACTAAAATTTCTTCAATAGCCTGGAGATGAGAATTCAAGGAAATATGTATCTTCAGGATGTTTTATCTCATAATTGGCCTCTGAATTTTTCTGTTTTTGTTTATGGTTACTGACTCCTTGGGGTCTTTCATGATCATGGATACCTTGGAAAACCTCTTTACCAGTTGTTCTAATTTTTCTTAAGCCAGACATTGTCTGACATGATGTGTATTTATGATTCATTCTGCTACTGCTCTCGCTAAATCCTCTCCCTAGAACCATTATCTAACTTACCAAAATAGTTCGAAACAAATGAACACATTTTATCATCATTGATTTTTTTCATTGTATAATTTAAGAATGATGTGTGAGTTAATCAAATGTCCAGGTGAATATCTTTCCTGTGTCCCTTGCTAAAGTCAAGCATGTCCACATGAATGTTTCAGGAGAATTTGTCTCTATTACCCAAGCCCAACCACATTTAGATTGAAGAATTAGAATATTATTGCTCATGTTAATATTAAAGGTTTCAACTCAACTTTCATAAAACTGCACCACTCTGCACATATTATTTAGATATCTTCCATTTATTGAATTCAACATTTCCTAAGCATTAAACTACTATAGTATAAAAGAAGCTGATTAAATTTATATGTATACTTTGTTTATTCATAATAAAATATATAAATCAAATTTACTGTAAATGACCTAAGTAAATTATTCAAACATGTAGGTGCTAACAAAGGTATTCAAGTAATGTTAGTTAAATATTAAATTGCACTTGAGGCAACGTGGTGTTTTCTGAACAAAGGTGAGGCATTTGCTGCAAATGCAAAGCAGGCCTGCCTGTTAGCCCTCAGGGAGCTCACAGCATTTGGTCTTCCCTTTTCATGATATATTACCTTTCAGAAGCCTTTCTTTCCACATAAGTAATGGCTTGCAGTGTAGAAAGGATGTCTCATATGGAGTGAGAATTGCAGAACTAGGTGAAAACATACAGCAGAAAAAGGTGGAAACAAAAATTCAAATGCTTTAGTTAATTAGACTTCAGGAATTTATCAGCAGTGACAGGAATCTTTAAGAAGAAAGATTCACCCCAAGAATTAGAGGGTTTCTTAAAAATAAGTCTGTTTAGTGATTGCTTCATGAGGCCATTGCAGAGTGTATTGATCATAATGTACTTTCTTTCCTGCTGTACTGTTATTTTGTATTTTAAACTATTAGAGTTTGTCAGAAGAGAACATAAAAAAATTTGGAAACAAATGCTTAGGCATTCTGAATATGCTATGAGGATTAAAATCCCTGTCATTATACATGCCAGAACATATCATAGCAGGGAAAATTAAGCTTGTTTCTAAGCCAAAATATAAAATATAGACAAAATTATCTTTTTTTTGCTTCACTTCCTCCGTTTCATGTCTGGTTCAAAAATAGCATAGTTTCAAGGCCAACAAGTCTCTATAAATGGAATTTCCCTGTAGACCACAGGAATATAGAACTTACACTTTCCAACTCTCATATTTCATCATAACCTGGTGTTAGCATATATCTGACCGTAATATCTGAAATGTAATGGTTACTCCTATTTTATAAAATGGTAAAAAGAAAAAGTAAACACTGATATTTGGTGAATAATGTTCTCTTTCTTGTGACTTTTCTATCTACTAAAACATACTATAGTCTTTCATAGTCTCTGTTTTTTGGATGATGAAAGGTGACAGAATTTTATGGGTGTGTTTTATGCTAAATATAATTTGCATTTATTACATCTATGGTATTGTGAGAGTGAAAATTTCGCTAGCTTTCTGAGTTCATCAGTCAAAGTGCATTTTATTTTCTGCATTCTGTCAGGAAATAGTGTCTTTGTCCTTGAATTTCACATACAACATACTCATTCAACTCTATGTAAGATCTCATCTGTGACCACAGCACATTATCTTAGTTACTGTGTTCCTTATCCTTTGGGGACAGTGATATGTGCCTGAAAATATGTGGTTAAGAGGAAGAAAGACTTCTGTACAGTTTCAGTACTTTCTCTCTATGGTTGTCTCTTCTTATCTGCACTTGAAGTAAACCCTAATTATGGAGCTGGTGCTAATCTGCTCACCTCCTAGCAAACAGGAAGAACAGAGATCAAGGAAGGAGTCATGAACATGCCATGGGAGTCCTAGATAGCGCTTGCTTGCTTTATATTGCCATAATATCATGAACCTATCAGGGGACTTCTCCATTCATTCATTAGGTCAGAGCCCTAATGGTCAAGTGAACTGTCAATATTTGGAGCCCCCAGTACTTTCATCGCATGAGTCTGCTGTACTGCAACATCGATATGAAAATATGAACTTACATACAGGAAAGATGTTCTGCAATTTTCTGAAAGGGACTTACTTTTCTCTTTGGGTTGTAAGTTTTGAAGAGTCATTATTTTATATTTTCTGAATGTTTAAATGTCTTTATCATTATTTGCTTTTTTTATTACCTCCTCAACATTGTTAGCTAATGATCAATGGCCTTTTGGTTTAAAAGTGAAGCAAGGAAATTATTTGTGTTGGTTTCCTAGGAGTCTGTCAGGAAACATTTAATTGTTACTAAAGAACTTTTAGAGATGACCACTTTTCTCCAGTGAGGTACCCAAAGAATATTTTTCAGTATTCGATGCTATATATTCCTAGAAAGCAGTACTAAATTTCCATTCACTAGTTTTATACAAAAGTTTTGCCAAGAAACAGCTTATAAACACATCTGTAACCATATATGTACATGAATGCACACATCTTGTGGCTTGATACCCTCTCCGAAATTTAAGTTGAAAGTGAATCTCCAAATTCTATCATATATACATATATGTATATATATATATATATGTGTGTGAATACATATGTGTATATACATATATATGTATTATGTATATATATGAATATATACACACATGAGTAAAATGATGATATTTTTAGATAAACCTTTTTGGGACAATGAGATGTATTAATATTCTCAGGACAGACCTTTGATGATTGCTATTTGAGTCTTAGGAATACACACACACACACACACACACACACACACAGGGAGAGAGAGAGGCAAAGAAAGCGACAGAAAAACAGACACAGACAAAGGTAAAATGAGACCTGAAAGAGTACCTTTTACTGTTTCATAGTGACAGAATCTGGACCATGTTCCAATGTGGTAAGTAGATACTTTCTGGTTCCCAGAACCTTAGTAGCAAATTCTCTTCAACTTTCTGTAGTAATAACAGAATAAATCAATTGACACAGAAAACAGTAATATACTTCTCCCAGTTTTGGAATTGAGGGAAGTCTGAGATGATGGCTACAGAAGTTCTCATATTCTGATCTGCAGATGAAGGCTTCTCCCTATAACATCATATGACGACAGGAGCAAATCATGTGTCCTTAGTCTTATTCTCATGAAGGGTTTGTTAGAATGATGGAACTTTAGTCAGTAGACTGTAAGCTAGATAACTTTCAAATCTTTTAAATTACTCACTCTTGATACTCAGAGCTAAGCTAGGGGAAGGCAATAAAACTATGCACAAACATGCACACACATAATAATTTTCAAAAAACTATGACTAAAGAATTAATTCCTTTTCCTATGGAAGGTAAAAAATCTTATGTGATTTTTTCCTGGAAAATATGAACAGATATTTGTTGATTTCATATAGATAGTCAGGACATTGAAAATAGGCTAAAGATAGGATTCTATCCACATGGAATTTAAATTCAGTGAATCAATGATGTTGCTTGGATTATAGCTGAGGTGCATCTCACATGGATATGGCTTACTCAAAGTCAACTGCATCACAAAAAAGCCCTTCCAAAACATGTGTGTAACTAACAAAAGTTGCCTCTTGGATGCTCATATAACCTTGAAGAGGTGCCTTATGATTCTTGTAACTTTCTGCACATCCTGAGTTTTGTAAATTTCATTTGTTTCCTGGTCCTTGTATGTGTGCATCCTGCATTGTCTCAGCCCATGGTGTCCCAGGGACTATACCAACCTCAGTCTTTGTTTAGTGTCTACTCTAGAGAATATTGAATAGCGTTCTTCTTTCTTGGAAACTGTCCTTCTCAAGATTTTCTCTTGAAGAACATCCTTAATTTCTCACTTTTCCTCAATTTCTTGCTATTCTGTAATAATTCATAATAAGCCTTTTTCTGCTTTGCTTACTTCTAGGAGAACGAACGTCACTTATCATCCTTGGTATGAGACAACAAAACGGGAGACAGTATCAGGGGCCATTCTTTGGTGACCATGATTGTCTGCATCTTAGTTCCCTGGATCATGAAGAATTGTGTCATGGAAGGTCCTAGTAGTGTAACAAGCCATCCACCAAGAATAAAGACTTAGAATACCTTGCTCCTGTACCCATGTTAGTTTGCCAGGGAAGACCTCATCTATAAAGCAGAGTAGGAGAACTTCTCTGGCCTTCATCTCAGACTTCCCAGTTCCAAAAATGGGAGAAGTACATTTCTGTTGTCTGTTTCACCTAATTTGTGGTATGCTACAGCAACTTGAGAATGAGACACCCACTCAAAAGGAAAACTCAAGAACAAGCAATTTTTACCACCTCCTACTCAATCACATTGCTTTTAGAGCCATATGTGATGAGTGACTGAAGAAGAAAATGTATGAACTACACTAAATCATTCATACTTACTTAAATTACATGTAAAATAAGCTCACAATCAACTTTTGAAACCCAACAATATATTTTTTTCATCTGTCAGGAGTGAGAGTTTGTTCTGTCAACATTAAGAGATAAAAATATAAGACAAAAATTGTATCAAAGACTGGAATAAAATCCAACATTTTCCCATTTAAAAATTAAAAATAGCTTATTTTCTCTTATAATATAGCTTATCCACAGTTTGCCAGCCATCCACATCTCCTAGATCCCCACCTCTACCTCCCTTCTCCCCAAGATCTACTACTCCCCCATTTTGTTTCCTCTTCAGAAATGATTAGAACTCCAAAAGATTACAATCAAACAGGACAAAGCAAGATACAATAAGATGAGGAAAAATTCTTCCTATCTATCAAGGCTGTACAAGACAACCCAATAGGATGAAACCATGAGCAGGAAAAACATCCAGAGACTACTTGTTCCAATGATTAAGAGTCCTACAAAATGCTTTTGACTCAATGGTAGCACATTTTATTCCAAATCAGAAGATTGTGTGTTCAAACCATGCTGGGGTCATCAATAGGGCTTTAATTATGTGTGTATTATGTGTACCTTAATAAATGAAAACCTATTCCTATGACAATGGAAAATGATCCTTTTTAAAAACAAGAGGATTTTAAAAAAATGTTAAGGTTCCTCCTCTAGCCCTCAGGTCAGTAGAAAAGACAAAGGAAAATGAACTACGTCTGAGGGAGTCTTTTCAATGTGATACAGAAAATAGAAGAGTTTGCCAACTTAGTGAATATATGCCAAGGCCAAGTAGAGGTGATAGACTTTCTAGATTGGGAATAATAATCTCCAATACCAAGTAATCTGGAAAATTATTTTATGATTTCTTGTTCAATAATTGAATAAAGAATGTCACCAATGAAATTATAAGGTAATAAAACAAATATAACATCATACTTCATATTTCCATATTATTTATAAGATCTTGGTGAAAAGTTACACATGAGATAAAAGTTTTGAGAAGCATAAATATTAATAGCAATAATAGTGACTAAGAAAGAATAGACTATAGTCAAACATAAAAATATCAACAAATGTCCATAAAATATACTTCTTCAGTAGTCACTGAATTTATTAAATACCAGTAAAACCTTTTCTTAATAAGCTCAAAAATTCATCTTCTTGAACTGTCTATCTTATAATATCCTAATTCCTACTGTAACTCACTGGTAAAGATGTATGTATGCATAAGCATTTAGGAATATTACACATCATTAATGCTATATGAAAATGATAATTTGTACCCTTTTGGCATGGTTCCAGGATGCATTATCCTGTCAACATTATTAATTGCAATAATATTTCTTGGAAATATTTACAAAGAAAAAGAATTTTCATATACATATGCAAGATAATTCACATAAACTGAGTATTCATAATGAAAGACAGGTGGTAAAGAATATATAATTGAAATTCTTATTCAGAACTGAATTTTAAAGAGGGTTGGTTCAGATTGCAGGATTTTAGAAAATATGTGGCCTCGCTATAGTTTCTTATGGAGATTCTATTTAATTCTGACTAATCACACAACTTGGATTAAAAGAAACTTTTTCTTTATTTTTTTCATTTCTGACCTAACGAATTTCTGTAGACTCAGACAGGAGGAGGGTATACTTTGTGTTAATCAGGAGAACATTTTATGTCATTTTAAGAGCAAAATAACGTGGACATCTTAAAAAGCCACTCTGTGAGGACTTTGAGAGTAGATCTGTATTTCAGACTAGATGAGTACATGTGGTCACCAGTGTAAACTTTTCCTTCCCACAGGGAAATGGACCCAGCAGTTCCTCACAACAGAAGGCTGTGCAGACACTAAACTCATTCCCTCTGCTATGTCAACAAGCTCTAATGCAACATTGAAACTTTATGCCAAACTGAAATCTCCATATTGGTTTTCCTGACCAACAGTCATAAAAATCCAGTTTCACTGATAACCAGTTATTTTCCATTTTCATCTAATAAGTATTTAGACTGTGTGTTCATAATCTTTAAATGTCTGACATAATTACCAAGGTATGCCCTTTTGACTAATAACTATTATTTGGTAGTTACTGTCATTCATTTAAGCAAAGCAATGTTTACTTTTTAAAGTATGTGTATAGAACAGAGTTAATCAATGTCCATTGTTACTATTGACAAAGACAAGAATAGAAAACCAAACATGGCTTTCACAAGTTTCTGGATTTCCTACTAAGTTTCTGTTCATCAAGAGAAAGGCTTATTTCATACATAGTAAATTTAGTTCTTGTTAAGAGATAACATATTCTGACATCCTAAATTTATATTCCAATAAATATTTCAAAATTCTAGCATCATTCATGGTGAGCATCAGGAGAAGTTGAGGTATGTTTTCATAGTTTCTTGTTGCAGGTCCTCACTCTATAAGACTTGAAAAGGAAACGTTCCAGTGGTGAAATTAATTTTATCTTTTTTCCCAGAAAAAATATCCAATGAAACTTTAATTATAGCTCCTCTATGTGAGTACTCTGCTAGTGTGTGATGGCAGAGAAGAATGCACTCTGTCATCCAGTTCCAAAGAATTTCAGCTGTTGATCTGGCTAGTCAGTTTGTTCAGGAAGATAGAGTGATTTCATTACTACAGCCTTAGTGGCTGACTTATGTTTAAACTTCAAAGGGTTTAGCAAGGAAAAACAAGTTATCAAGTCAATCTAAAAAAATTCAGTAGCATCCACCACAGCTATTTAGGCAAGTAGCAAGAACAAATAAGTCATTCTCTGTATTATATTGACTTGAACAGGGTAGATAGTTCTTGAGTCATGATAGAGACAATGTTGACTATGCAGCAACACTTAATATATATATTAATCAGAGTTCCTAGGCAAGAAAAGATCATCAACATCCATGACTTCAACAGCCCTAACTGCACAGAGATGCTGAAGGGAACTGAATGACTCTGCTACTTCACGTCAACTCTGCCGAACAGTCAAATTACACCCTTTCACTACTAAACGGAAGTGCAGATCACAGAGGATCTATGCTGGTCAAGTTTAACAACTAAAGAAAACATGGCATTTAGTATGCATTTTAAGTTAGAGGTACTGATTTAAAGTAGTTATCTGCCATAAATGTTGTCTCTCAACCACTAGAAATAAAGAAAGTGTAGCAATTATTTGTTAGAAGTTAATGATATTCTATGAAAATTGCTAATTTGATTAAAAACATTAATTGTTTTAAAATGTTGGAGCTGGGAATGTTTCTCAATAGTACTATATGCCTAGCATCCACAAAGTTCTGGGCTTAATCCTTATTTCTGTAAAGAAAAAAACAAATTAAAATAACTTAAAAAGCTTCACTGATATATAGAATTTATTAAAGCAATTATATGAAATTGTTTTATGTTGAGAAAACATTTTATTATGCAAATAATTTTCCATGTGTTTTCTTAGAATTTCAAGCCATTTGTACAGCTGTATATTTCTAATTTAACAAGAGGTGCTTTTTTTCTCCCTAATGCACAAATTCATGTATTTTTCAACACTCTTTAGCCTTTTTCTAGCAAAATAGAAAAAATGCAGGCAACCCAATAATATGATAATGCACATGACTTTTTTTAATTCTTAGTGAATCATTGCTTTGCTCTCCTGCATAAGTGAATACTGTGTTGCAGAGCTGGAAGCACTCTATTTTGGCAGCCGTGTGGCCTTGAGATAATCTCCTGCAGGGTTTATGGGTTTAGTACATTCATAACGTGTTGTAATGGAACATCTGAACCAGTAAATGAAGAAATGTGAAGAAAATACCCTGCTTTTGAATATCTATATGCACCTAAGCCAAAAGATGATAGAAACAGTCTTCCACTTGACAATTCAAACACTTATTTTCATAGTCTGCTTTAATGTGTCATTCCAAATATATATATATATATTCCATATACATTATATATATATAATTATATATGATATATATATTATTAGTTTACTAGAAATTTGCAAGTAAAGATAATGTTGGCAAGCTGTTGTACTAACTGTAAAACTGAGCAGGCTTAACTAGAGAGATGCTTCAGTGGCTTAGAGCAGTGGCTGCTGTTCCAGAGGACCCGGGTTCAGTGGCTAACATCTGCCTGGAGGCTCACAGCTGTCTATAACTCCAGTCTCATGGGATACAACAACCTTTTATGACCTCTGTGTGTACCAGGCATGGAAATGACACATAGGCTTATATAAAGTCAAAATACAGTACAGTTAAATTAATATTTTAATTTAAAAATATGTAAATAAAATGAATTCAAAACAAAGAACAATTAAAATTGAATTAGAAATGAATCTTGGGCAGTTTTAAAAAAACTACTGAACGGGCTTAACATACCCATGTCTTTGTTTTGTTTATTTTCTATCAAGAGGGCTAAGGTTTCTCCAGAGGAATTTAAAAGAAAGAAAACTATCAGCATAACAGAAATGCATATAGAGCCACCTGAACTAAATAGACCCTATTATGACACTAAAAAAATAAAGATTTAAATTTTATTTTGTGATCTTGTCACTTTCTCCTTCTCCAAGGGACCATGTATGTCTCACTTAGGGTCCTCTTTGTTTCCTATCTTCTCTAGCAGTTCAGATTATAGACTGATAATCCTTTGATCTATGTCTAAAATCCATATATGAGTGAGTATATACCATGTTAATTGGAAGCATGGGGGAGGGCAGAGGAAGTTAGGAGAAGGGGAGAAAAGGAGGGGAGAGAGGGACATGAGGGAGCAGGAAGATTGAGTTAGGAGAAGAATAGAAGAAAGCAAGAAAAGAGATACAATAATAGAGGGAGCCATTATAGATTTGAAGAAAAATTTGGCACTAGAAAAATGTCCAGAGATCTACAAGTATGACTCCAACTAACAATCTAAGCAGTAGTGGAGAGGCTACCTTAAATGCCCTTCTCCAATAATGTGATTGATGACTACCTTATATGCCATCCTAGAGCCTTCATCTAGTAGCTTGATGGAAGCAGAAGAAGAGACACACAGCTAAACACTGAGCCAAACTCCTGGAATCCAGTTGCAGAGACGAATTAGTGATGAGCAAAGGGGTTAGGACCAGGCTAGAGAGACCCACAGAAACAACTTATCTGAACAAGTGGGAGCTCATCGACCCCAGACTTATAGCTGGGAAACCAGCATAGGAAGGTTCCAGACTCCCTGAACATGGATGTCAGTTTGGAGTTCTGGGCAATCTATGGGGCCTTTTGTAGTGTATCAGTATTTATTCATAGTACACAAAAGGACTTTGGGAGCCCACTCCATATGGAGGGATAATCTCTCAGCCTAGACACACGGGGGAAGGGTCTAGACCCTGACCCATATTATATGACTGTCTATGAAGATTCTCCCATAGTAGTCCTCACCCTCCCTAGGGAGCAGAAAGGGGATGAAATAGGGGGTCATTGGGGAGCAGTGGAGCAGGGGAGGGAGAAGCTACTTGGATTGACTTGTAAAACAAACTTGTTTCTAATTTAAATTAAAAAAATATTTTTGAATAATTGAATCTTTTAAACCAACTTGTGTATGTGTGCATGTCTGCATGCATGTGTGTGTGTGTGTGTGTGTGTGTGTGTGTGTCTGTGTGTTTGTACATGTGTGGAAGTCAGAGGACGTGTACATAGTTCTGTGGATCACCAGTCATGTCACCAGTATTTCAAGGCACGCGCCTTTACTCACTGTCAGATTTCAGTTTCAATTTTAAATATTTGTAGAATTTAAAGTTCTATTTTAATAATGTGGATTAAAAATCTTAAAAAATTCAAATAACAAAATGATCTAATTTTTCTAGTGATGCCTAATCTATATTTAAT